CGTACAACAATTTGAGTATTATTATATTAATTTATCGATTTTTTCGAAGACGATGAGAGGATGGGTGGTAGTCAACAAAAACTCGCCTGCTTATTTATACAATATTTTTTTTTCGATTTTAACTGGAAAAATAACCTTGTTTTTTCCAAAAGAAACATTAGTAATGTTATTACGCGTATTAAGTGAATTATTAATACATTGTCTTTTAATTGTTTCGCGGAAAATGAAACTCCAATACGAAAAGAAAGAATCGAAGTTTTTTGGTTTGGGAAAAGTCATGATTGATTTCTTTTGATTTCCAAAGTAAGCAGTCTTCATGGTTGCCTTCCAAGTTAAGTTTTCACGCGTATAAAAAAAAATTTCAAATGTTTTTTGTGTTTCATGTGATTATTATTATGGTTAGTGTCATTCATTGAGAAACACAAGTGTTCCTAATAATAATTTATTTGTTATAATTATAAATATAACAGAGAAAAAAAAGCACCGAGCAGTTGTTAGAGAAATATGGACTAAGAGCAGGAATTTAGACTTGGCGAAGTTTATTGATAGAATATTCTAGTGATAAAAAAAGGAATTTGTTTAATAGACTTCCTAATTTGATTGGAAGATTTTATCTACATTTATATGATTTATATGTCAATCTTATAAAGATTTGAAAATTTTGATAAATGAGAAAAAAATAAAAATCCAAAAATATCTTAGTTTCTATTGAAATTAGTTTTTAAAGTAATTGAAATAGAGTTATTTATGGATTGAAAAGGCTTTAATTTCGACATAAAGATTAAATCGGATATCAATTCCTTTACAAAATTCAAACAACAGGTAAAAATTAATTTATTAACGTGCCATTTCCCAATACCAAAAATAATTGGCAATACTTCTTCTTTCATTCCAAATATAGTCGGATTAGCCAACTAATAAGATAATAATAATCAACTGGTAGTATTTTTATTATTAAATTTTTTATTTTTAGTTTTTATCCAGAAACTGGTTATGGTTTTGGTGTTAATTTCGGACTTGCATTTATCAAATTTGACTAAATCAGAACAAACTTAACTAAAACAACATTCTTTGTCCGCAAAAAATCAACATTGCGTTCCTGTGATCAATAAGAGCGTTTTGGCTGAGCTACGCGCGGAGATCTTAAATAAAAATGATAAAATTACACAGTCGTATTTTAAGAAAAATATGCGCGTGCATACTCTTCTGCTAAGAAGGAATTGTAAAAATTATTAATTAGGAAGAAAAACTTTATTCTTTTCCTTTTACGTATGGTATCTTCATTCAATTTCATCCGGTTGTATTTATACACATTTACTTCTGGAGAATGATTGGTGTTTCTAGCCTTTTTGGTGGAATTGAGTTTTTGATTGTTTGGCTAGTGTTAGTTTAATATAATAATAATCGTTACTATTGTTTATAATTATTTTTTTGAGGTTTCACACAAAATACTTGCAGTGGGTTATTATTTAAAGGGTAACTTTTTTTCGTAATTTTTTTATCTAATAAATAATTTTTTACGGAAAAATTGATTTTTAACGAAGTTGTTTTTTTTTGTCACCTGATGTGCACTCATCATCGTGTTACAAAAATCACAAAAAATTACCAAATTTTTTGATGATCTCCTCTCTTTTTTAACATTTTGGACAATGGAACGAAATGAAATTTCCGCAATTGCTAACGGACCACCGATTAAAAAACGCAAATTATGCAAAACAAAGTTTATAATTGGCAATAATAAAGATAATGGCAACAGTAGTGATATTATGAATGAATTAAAAGATATTGTGTTCCAATATGAAAATGGTAATAGTTATTGAAAATTTTTTTATTATTTCCATATAAATCTATTAATAATAATAATTTATGCGTGAATATTATTAGGTTTGCGTAAAGTAAAACCATATTATTATAATTATAAAACTTTTGCTAAAGGTCGTTGGTTAGGACGCAACATACTTGATATTTTTATTACAGAATTTCGAGACAGGTTCAAAGAATATTATGTATGTATGGAAAGAATGAATAAATAATAACGAGTGAATGAATGAATTGTGTGTTATTATTATTATTCTTATGTTATCTTCTTCTCAATCATCTTCTTTTCCGTAAAAAAATAAAATTTAATAGACAAATGCCATTGAAAAAGGATTAATTACAATCAATGAGAAAATTTGGCTTAGATTTTTTTCTCTATTGTCCAGCCAGCCTCATATTAATTTAGCCCACAGATTTCATTATTACGTGACGGGAAGAAAAGGAAATACTGTTATCTTTTTGGGAAAGATCTCCTATTCGGGACAAAAAAACATGTGCATGTGGCTGTGATCATTTTTTCTTTGTATAAATTAATTAATCTTATCGAGTTTATTAAAAGGCAAGAGAGTGAGAAAGGATAATTTTAATAATTTTTAGGATTTTAACAATAGTAATTATAATTTTTATTATAACAAATATTATTTGCTCCGCAACCAGCGACTATTCTATATAAAGAGAGTGTTATTTTCTTTCTCGTATCTTTATTATATAATATTAATATAAAAATGAAAAACAACAATAATTATAGCATTAATATCATTATTCTGTTATTGCTGTTAGTTATAATTCCTATAGCAATTGGATCGCCAATTTATCGACCAAAAAAAATTAAATTTAAAAAATTTGTTGTGTTTGGTGATTCTTATTCAGGTAAAAATATCAATTTCACATTCAAAAAATATAGGTCGAATTTCAAAAACAAATTATTATTATAGATAATGGAAATGTATTCTTGTTGACAAATAAAACTTGGCCAATTTCTATTGGCGGAAGATTTTCTAATGGATGGGTTTGGCCAGAACATTTGTCTCGACTATCTAATGCCAAATTAGTTGACCTTGCATATGGTGGTGCTACTACAGAGTAAATCACCATCATTATTATTGTTATTGTTATTATTATCATCAATATTAGTATTAATGTTATATTATCGTAATATTATAATAGTAATGATTTGATTAAAGGATTTACAGGTCGAAATTCGGATGTTTTAGTTCCTGGGATAAAACAACAAGTTGACAAGTATCTTAAACATTGTAAAAAAAAGAAGAGCGACTCCACTTTATTCACAGTAAGTATAAATAAATAATTAATTACTATTTCTCTCCATCGCCCTAATTACTAATCAATCGATTGATATAGGTTTGGGATGCGGGGAATGATTACCTTAACAGCAATTATTCAATAGATCCAAAATTGTTAGTTAAATCCATAATGACATCGATTAATACATTGTATACAAAAGTCGGGGCAATCAATTATTTTGTGCCAGATCTTCCAGATCTTACAATAACACCGATGATCCGAGAATTACCAGAATTAAAGACAAAAGTACCTAATGTAGTAAAGCTACACAACTCTGAACTAAAAATTGCATTAGATGCCTTCGAAAAAACCAATCCAAAAGTGAAGATCTATAGGTTCCCAACGGTGAAATGGTTCAAATCAATATTAACGCCCAACAATACAAAAATCACGCAATCAGGAATAGAAAATACCGTCGATGCTTGTGCAAATTTTTATGCAACTCCACCTATAGTTTGTCCAAATCCTGATAAATATGCATTTTGGGATTCTGTTCATTTAACAACCAAAATTCATAAACTTTTTGCTGATCATGTTATTAAGTTGTTAAAATAATATTTGTTTATTAAATCATAATTTTCACATACATTTTTATTTTTGCATAAAAAGCTTAAATTTAATCGTAATTTCATATTTTATAAAAACATATAGTGTAATAAACTTAGTAAAAATATAATCCCCTCCCACTCATAAATATTGTGTTTTATATAATTGATACGAATCATCAATAGAAACAATAATAAGCGAGGATATTAAGGTTGTCTATTAAGATATAGATTCGGTTGGTGTCATCGATTATGACTAGATCGTTAAATTGCGAACACCAAATGAAATCCACCACATCCAGCTCAATGCCATAATAAAAAATGTAATCGATATAAAAATCAAATCTTATATCGAAATCAGGTTGTGGTGGTTGTGGTATCTGTAGCGGTAGTTGTGGTTGTTGTTGTTGTTGTTGTTGTTGTTGTTGTTGTTGTTGTTGTTGTTGTTGTTGTTGTTGTTGTTGTTGTTGTTGT